ACAGCCCCACCCCGAACTCCCGACCCATCCAACCCTCCCCCTGCTCCCTGTCTCTTGACTGCCCCCTCCAGAACCTCCCTGCCCCTTCTCTGACCCTGTGGCCCTCTTACCGTGCCGCTCAGAACAGCGTGTTGGGCTCCACGCGCAGCCCGACACGCTGCCGCGCTCCCCCACGGAGCGCATAGCCCGGTTCCCGCCCTCGCAGAGTGCTGCGGAGCGGCGCGCTGGGCAGGGGGAGGAGCTCCAGACTGCCGGAGGCCCGTTGCGAACGGCCGGCCAGCGGCGAATGCAGGGAGGGGGAGGGAGGGAGAGAGAGGAGGGGAGTGATCTCAGCTGCAGGGGAGAGGAGGGGGAAGCGGAGGAGGGGCTCTCTCTGGCTGCAGGAGCCCAGTGCAAGTGGCACCATCCAGCCAGCTGCCCTGTCAGCCGCGCGCGCTCTGCATGGGGGGGAAGTCCGGACATTTACAAATTCCCCCCAGACGCTATTTTTAACTGAGAAAAGCCGGACATGTCTGGGGCAATCCGGACGAATGGTAACCCTATTGCCCTTTAGCTCAGGTAGTAGAAGATTGTGATTTTGGAGCAGGGGGATCCATGTCATAGCGCCATCCCACCCCCAAATTCCAGCTGGCTGTAACAAGCAAACTAGTTAGAACAGTGAAGTCCCAAATGGCCCTGGGTCTGTTACAATGCAGGTGTAGAATTATACACGCTCCTTCTCACGTTCCTCCCAGCGACGCTCAAGGAAATTTAAAGATATCTCTCTAGCGTAACGAAATGTCCCCCAACTAAACTCCCACTGCGGGGCATAAGTGGTTAGCCTGAGTGGAAGAAGGGCGTCTCAAGACAGAGCCGGCGTTACCACTCGTGTGATATTATCATGCAGCTTGTGAGATTTGCTGTTCTTCTTAAAGCCCCAACTCCTGGAATCAAGTGGTTACATGAGAGTCTCAGCTTTCCTTAAAAGCAAAGGTAAGTTTCTAGCCCTCCTGGTCACGGAGAAAAGCTCTGCTGAGTTTCTCAGAGGCTCCTCAGTCTGAACCCTAAAGCTTGTCATCGTCTTTCTCGGGAAGGCTTCCAGATCCCCAGACGTGGCGTCGTGTCCCGGATGGAGCGAGGGGGCGAGGCCTGTGTCCAGGATCCCAGGGACCCTGCACCTGAGACCCACTTGGGGGGTGAGTGTGTGGCTCACAAGGGTCTGTGGGCAAAGCTGACGGGGGTCCGGTTCTCTTCTCCTAAAGGCTCTGTGGGGAGAGGCAGCCGCAAAAACTGCAGCTTTCCCTGCAGCTCCCAGCTTGCCGGCTCCAGCAGCGGCTGTGCAGGGAGGGGGCCCTGCCTCACCATGTGACTGAGCAGGGCCAGCAAACCCTGGCAAAAATCTGGGGAAGCATGTGCCCCCACGTGACCCCCATGCATCGCCTCTGGCTTCTGCCCCATGGGTGGGGGGTCTCAGGAATCCAGTCCCGGGCAGGCATGTCTGCTGGGGCTCGGGGCTTCAGCAGGAGCAGGGCGGAAGCCCTGAGCCGCAGCAGGTGACCCCCGTCTCTCAAACTTCTGAAGATTGTCGTCTGCGGCTCGGAGGGCCAGTAAGTTTGGCCACCCCTGGGCTACTATAAAATCTGTACCCAGCATCTCAGACAAAATCCTGGGGGAGCGGGACCATGTTCCCGCGATTACCCCAGGAAGCCCAGGGGTTGAATTGTAGCGGGACACGGTGAGCGATACGGTGGCTGCATTTATAAAATCCTGGGCTCCGAGAGCCAATGCCTTAACCCTCAAACAAGTACAGAAGGACCGGCCACGCTCACAACCGCCCCGGCCCACGGGCTGCGGTTACCCATGAAATTCCCCCAGAACCTTTAGCTAACGCTCAGTGCTAGACCTGCCCCCACTGGCCGAGCTCCCTCCCATCCCAGGCCGTGAGTGGCCAGGCCAGCGCCCCCAGCAGGGGGGTTTGCAGCACAGGGCCGGAGCAGTGCGGGGCTGGGGCTGGGGCTGGCTGGTTCAGCGAGTCAGTGGCATCATGCTGTATTTGAACCTTTCAGGAAATGGCTTCCTAGGCCCGGCCCAAGAAGCGGCCGCCATCCATCGGGCCGCTGAGCAGTCGCAGCAGCCTAGAGAATCCCCATCTCTCCCCAGCTGGGATGCACGTGTCCAGTGGGGCCGCAGCAGCTGCAGCGAGTTTGGGCCACGGGCGCAGCCTGGCTCCCAGCCAGGGAAGGCTCCGGAGTTCCTGGGCCGCTGGGGAACGGGCTCTGGAGCAATGCCCGACGGGCAGGAGGACACCTCCGGGCTGCAGCCGAACCGCCGGCAGAGCCAGGCCGAGGAGCAGCCGCGCTGGCGCCCCAGAGGCAAGGGCAGCGCGGCCGCGCAGCACCGCCCGAGAGCTGAGCGGGAGGCCAGGCCGCTGCAGTGCCCCCACAGCGTGAAGAGCTTCACCGCGCGGCCCAGGCTCACCGAGCACCTGCGGACGCGCTCGGGCGACAGGCCCTTCAAGGGCCCGGACTGCGGCAAGACCTTCGGCAAGCACTCGGTCTTCGTGGTGCACCGCCACAACCACACGGGCGAGCGCCCCTTCCCGGGCCCGGCCTGCGAGAAGCGCTTCAGCCACCGCTCCCACTTGACGGTGCACCAGCGCATCCACGGGGGCGAGCGCCCCTACTCCTGCGCCGAGTGCCACGAGAGCTTCATCGGCCAGTCCCAGCTCACGGTGCACCGGCGCACACACACCAGGGAGCACCCCTACCGCTGCCTCAAGTGCGGCAAGGGCTTCCATCAGCCCACCAACCTGGCCGCTCACCAGCGCACTCACCTGGCGGAGAGGGCCCTGCCGTGCAGCCAGCCTGCCCGTGCCTCGCTGAGCCCCAGGGAGAGCACCTAGGAGGGAAGCAGCCAACGCGGTCGGAAGCTGCTGGAGCCGGCTCCTTTTCAGCCAGGCCTACGTTCCTCTGGAAACTGGGCGACATCCAGCCAAGCGCCGTACCTTCCCCAGCCCCCAGAGCGTGGCACGGGACCGTGGAACACCAGGGATCCCTTGGGACAGCCACACTCTGAATGCTTTAATGGCAGCTGTGAGCTTCCCCCAGCATCCATTGTTATCCCGCTGCAGTGATGGGGAGGGTCTGTCTCTCGGCCAGACTAACAAGGAAATTCCTAGTTAATCCTGCCAGGGCGTTCTCAGCCCAGCCTCTCAGCGTGCCTGGGTAAGCGGTAGCATGCATAGGGGGTGGGGTTCTCCGTCACAGCACCACGGGCCTCTCTGTGAACGGGTGTGAGCACACACATGGTCCAGTCCCGCTGCTCTGAGTATTTCTTTGTCTTGCAGAATCATCTAGTCCTAGGTCAGGTGCTAGGCGCTGTACACCACAGAACAGAAAGGCCATCTCTGCCCCAACGAGCTTACTCCTAAGAGAGGAGAAAACAAATGGCTAGAGACAGACAGACAGACAGACAGGCCGGGGAGCCCAGGGAAACAATGAGAAGTACTGGTCAGCAGGCAGCACACCCACTGCCGAATCAGTGTCACGTTTCCTCTCCCACAGGACCTTCCATCTATCTATGCCCTTTGCCTCCTTTGCTGCAGCGAGCCATGCACACAGGCTCGGGGTCTCTAACTCCGTGTGCTTTCTCCTTCTTGCACTGGTAACGCCCCCATCACTGCAAACCCCTCCCAAGGAAGGGCTCAGTCGTAGTTTATCTGCATTGAGCTCCACGCCATAGGCCCCGCATTGCCTTCTGCTTGAGCTAGCAAACATTCGCCAGACGGGGGCGCTGCTCTTTCTCCTGGGCATGTGTCTTTGAGTCCTGCGGCTCTCTGGGAGGCGGGGGGTGCACTGCAGCTGCATTAGGTCCTCTAGCTGGGCTCTCCGTGCGGGCACCCGGGCGCTTCTTTCACAACCAGTCTGCTGGCACCCTGTGCTGCGTTCGTTTTTGCTCCCCTCACAACAAGCTCTCTCCGCTCGCTCAACAACCAAGCTAAAGCTACCTCAGCCCCCTTCTGTTCCCAGCCTCCCGGCACATGTTCCTCTCGGTGGAGTCAATGTACATAACCCCTCTGCTATGTACATTGGCCAAACTGGACAGTCACTACGCAAGAAGATAAATGGACACAAGTCAGATATCAGGAATGGCAATATACAAAAACTTGTAGGAGAA